GGTGTGAGGAAAACGGAATGGAGATAATATTTCTTTCTGAAGTCTTACTTTAATCAGGTGTTCAAGAGTTCCAGTTCTTTTCCAGCACAATACATAACACTCGTGTGAAGTTTTAAGTAAGCTAATGTTGACACTGTTCAAGCATCAAACGTTAGTTGAGTGTAAATTGTTTGTTTTTAATTATGCACAAAGCTACACAAGGGCTATCTGTGCTCTGCCCACCACGGGTATCGAAACCCGGTTTCTAGCGTTGTAAGTCCGCAGACATACCGCTGTGCCACTGGGGGGCTTGAGTGTAAATAGTTTTGATGTATAGAATGATATGCTGCAAGAGGTCCATATTGGCTTTTTAAACAAATTTTTATAAAATATTTATAGGTCCCTCACCTTTTTGAATACAGAGTCTCTAATAACACGAGTCACACAAAGAAACTGAACAAAAATGTCATCGGTATTGCTATTTATGTCTGCTGGAATTCCCTATGTATTTTAACTCAGTTTCTTTAGTCAGTTCTTTATACAGAATATTCTAGCAAAAATATAAAATTATTCAATATGTTTTAATATCTGGAACTGTATAAAAACGAGTTCGTGATTTGAGGGTTAAACGATGTTCACGTAAGTGCAGACTTAATAACTCTCTCAGTTATTTACATTTTATGATGCGTCAAACATTTTTTTAAAATATTTTTTCCAATAATACCTCGATCTTAAGAGTAATGCTCAAGTTTGTTCCGTTTCGCGCAGTGTACAATATCGAACAAAATTTCATTGTTATATTCTCTTACAAAACGTGCATTGCCAGGTGGTTAGGGAGCTCGACTCGCAATCTTAGGGTCGCGGGTTCGAATCCCCGACCAACCAAACATGCTGGGCCTTTCAGCCGTGGGGTCGTTATAATGTGACGGTAAATCCCACTATTCGTTGGTAAAGGAGTAGCCCAAGAGTTGGCGGTGGGTGGTGATTACTAGCTGCATTCCCTCTGCTAAATTAGGGACGACTAGCGCAGATAGCCCTCGTGTAGTTTTGGGCGAAATTCAAAACAAACTAAAACGTGAATGGAGACTCGAGTCAAAATTATTCCCCCCACTTGTTTTAGCGCTTCATTGGATTTTTTAAGTTTGAGTGAATAGTAAAACTTAAGCTCTTAGATGTGACCAGTTTTGTTATATTCAGCTTAACAAGAATAATTTTTCAAGAATTCCCCCTTCCCTTTGATTGTACTTTTTTTTAAATAATAGTTGCTTAATAAAACTACCATTATATTTAAGCTGAAACTAAGATTAAAGTTTGTAGTAAAAATAAAAGATATAAATAATAATATTCAAGTCTTCCTCTGAGACAACTAACACGTGAGAGCGCTTAAGAACGTGATAAATCTGAGGAAGCGACAGAAAAAAACAACTTTGGTAAATATAGATAACAACCTACCTGGGGAAGTAGTAAAAACATTAAAAGCCACCAGAGAATAAAAAATTGAGTAGTTCAAGTACAATAAGCATGGAACCCTCGGATTCACAGTGCAGGCTCACTAACCAGTAGACCACGCCGACGTAGATAAATCTGAAAAATGAACATTGAAAGGACAGTAACACGATACTTACACATGAAACAGAGATCAAAAGAAGATATTAATGTAGATGCCACTAAAACGAATTCGTTGTCAAGTTCTTCTTCATTAAAAAAAAATAGGCATGGTCTATTCTAGTTGATTAAGGTGCATGCCACTTTCTGGAGATCTGTTTGCCATTTTTGAAACTGTGAAACGTCAAGACTGGACAAATTTGGAAGGAAATCCGCTTTTGATGACTGATCTGTAGAGTTAGCACGTATCAGGGTCACTGGTGAAAAACTCTGTAATCTTAGTTTAATTTTAAACTAAATACAAAACCAAGTATTGTGTGTGTGAGTGTGTGTTTGTTTATCATTATGAACACATTAAAACTATTAAATGCAAGTTTTTACTCTCTTTATTTTTACAATTTGATAAAACACACACGTCTTCATTCTGAGCTCAGATAAAGTTTATAACGATTCCAATAACTAAACAAAAAATAAATAAAAGGCAAATGTAAGACATGATATACAGCTATTCAGTATCTTGGTAATCTAATAGTTTCACAGAATTGGTGGCTTCAAGAATTAATAATTTGTAATCCAGCAGCTTAATGACCGCCCTTTTATTTCACAGGTGTGATAATGTGAGCTTGAATAACTGAAATCGATAAATTGTCGTTCTCATCCCCTCGAATGATTATGGGAAGCAAGCGGGGATTAGTGGTGTGCTTTGGACCTGACAATCTCAAGCACAAACATTTTGCAATAGAAACTACACTGCAGAGTTAGTTTCAAGATGCAGGCCGTCAGATAGAGCATGATGCAACAAAATTGACTATAACGATGTGGTGAGGCTTCAAAATCTTTATAATATAACCTCTGGATTCAATGATTCTAGAAAATGTAAACATGCAGTTGTGTTGTTTTGTAAGGTACTTCTTACAACAAGTATTACATTAATATATTGTTGTTTTGTAAGGTACTTTTTACAACAAGTATTAACATTAATATGTTTTTGTTTTGTAAGGTACTTCTTAGAACAAGTATAACATTAATATGTTTTTGTTTTGTAAGGTACTTCTTACAACAATTATTAACATTAATATGTTGTTGTTTTGTAAGGTGCTTCTGACAACAAGTATTAACATTAATATGTTGTTGTTTTGTAAGGCTCTTCTAGCAACAAGTATTAACATTAATATGCTGTTGTTTTGTAAGGTACTTCTTACAACAAGTATTAACATTAATATGTTGTTGTTTTGTAAGGCACTTCTTACAACAAGTATTAACATTAATATGTTGTTGTTTTGTAAGGTACTTCTTACAACAACAATTAACATTAATATGTTGTTTTTAAATACAAATTATTGGTGTTATTATGATAATTATTTTGTGTTACAAATTTAATCGATAACGACAGGTTTCATTGTTGGGTGTGTTGGAATGCTTAATAAATGACAAAGAAGGGATGTTTTTCTGCAGTACGAAGATAACGCTAGTATACAACTCGTTGACAAGAACTGAGTTGAAAATTCAAAATATAACAGAACAGAATACGCAGAATAATACAACCGTAGTTAATACAGAATACACAGAGTAATAAAGTAGTTCTTAATAGAGAATACACAGAGTAGTAATACAGCAGTACTTACTACAGAATATGCGGAATAATATAGCATCACTTAACACAGAATACATTGAATAATATAGCATCACTTAATACAGAATACGCAGAATAATACAACCGTAGTTAATACAGAATACACAGAGTAATAAAGTACTTCTTAATAGAGAAGTGCGGAGTGCGGTATTGTGGTATCGTGACTTTTTCCATGAATCCTCGGATTCATAGTCTCGACAACACTAACTAACCGCCCCCTAGTAACACAGCGGTATGTCTGCGGACTTACAACGCTAGAAACCGGGTTTCGATACCCGTGGTGGGCAGAGCACAGATAGCCCATTGTGTAGCTTTGTGCTTAATTCCAAAAACAATAAACAATAAAAACAATAAACTAACTAACCTATAGGCCGCTATGAAATGTACCATGCATTAGAATTAACTAAATTTAGCGTGGAAAATAATAAAATTAAAATCTCATTTTCAAATATTATCAGAGACATTTTATCTTACAATAAAATTTAGCTTTTATATTATAATTCTTTATGTTAAACTATTTACATTACTTTTACCCAAAATAAAATAATCAACGTGTAGCTTTCACTACTCACAAGTAATTAATTAATTGATAACTTAAACTGTTCTAAAGTTACCAACTAACAGCATGCACTGCTCTAAACCAGTCAATGAATATTTTGCCTTATTCAATGAAACCAATGAGTTCTAGAGTAATTGTTATTGTTGTGTCCAAGTCTGTCTGATGAGCTCTGGATTGGCAAAACTCGTTGCAGGCGAGCATAGTGTGTTTAGAATACTATTATTAAAAAGTCTTCTACTTCTTGAAAATCCCTAAGGAACCAGATAAACAATGCGATGTTAAAAATATAATAGGCTTAATACTAACGATAAGCATAATTAATTGTAATAATGTTTCGCCAGCTTGAAAAAGGTGGTGTTCACACCATAACAATTGTTGTTGTAGATATAACAATCAGGTATAACCAACCATTTTATTTTTACTAGAAACTAAATCATCAAGAATCCTTACTATATTTTTGTTATATGTACTTATGTATCTAACGAAGATTCTATTACGCAGAAGATAGAATTTTTGACTTCCGAAACTTTAAGAAACACTAACTTAACGATTGGACCATTATGTTTTCAACACTTTGGTTTCTATAGGACGTATAGTATGGTTACATTATAATGAAATATTATTATATGTATAGTTTAACTTAACCCAGTTTCGGTTACTAGAGGAAGGCGAGCGTGAAACACCTAGCGGAAAGTTCCATCAGCAGAAGGAGCTAAGACATCCCCTTTCTCAAGGACAACAACTAGTTAGAACTAGTTCATATAATGTTTGCTTTATCCTCACTTCGAACAGAATTTAGACAGAGTTTCTTCATTATTGTTTTAACTAAATTTCTGGTTCTATATCTCTGTTGATAAATAATGCGTCTGAAATTTTTTTATGTTATTTACTTACTAACTTTATCCTGCAATGCACAATATTTGGCAGCGGAGAATGTATCTGAATTGGTGATGTCAAAATTCAAAGGTAACGATCTTGATAAGTTATATCTCGACAGTGGAGACGGGAATCAACAAAACAATATCACTAAACAGTTAGAAGAATCTCACACGACAACCACATCTGACAAAGAATTACAGACAAAGACGAATTCTGGGCCACAGTGGTCGGACGTTGAGAAAATGACCAAAGGTTTGGTTAACACCGTTCTGAAACAGTTTCTTCCAGCCATGGTACGAACTACTTCCAGTGTTGGTCTGTCTGGTTCTTGTTACTCTAGCCTGTTGAAGCTAACTTTTGGTGTTCGACGTTTAAGATCTTGGGCAATTAGAAGTAAGTATTGGTATTTATACATATGTATATTCATTAAATAAGCGTGTGACTATAGATGGAATTACCCGTGCAGTTCAATTTGATTTTGTCTCCACTTTTTATGACATGTTTTTCTGATAATGATATATTAAGCCTAAATTAACGTACGTCACAGAATGGATAAAGTAGATACACACTATTTTTAGTAGTTACTAAAAGAGAAATCCCCGAAAACTGTATGTGTTATAACAAAAAAGCTGTAACAAATAAACATGTAAAACATTGACTATTGCTGTTATTTGTTGATATTCCAACCAGTGGCGTAGCAAGGGTTCTCAGCACCCAGGGGCAAAGACACTTTTGGTGGCTCCACCTC